TGAGGTCTCCCAGACCACGTAGGTAACGAGCTAACAAAAGGTCTTGCGAACGAGTATAAAAACCCTACCCCAGAGGCAGCTGATTAGCGCTTATCATCAGGGTTACACTAAAAAGCCTTCCGAGTGCAAAGTCTCCACGTAAGTTCGTTGCGGCACCCGATCTCGATAATGGCAGGAACAAGAGTAATGTATTTCGAACTCACTACCCACTGCGTGTGTGAGAATTGCTTACAGGCTCTTTAATCGTCATTGCCATTGTTAGCCCGTCGACTCTGGTATGACCTCTTTGCGTATTCTCCGTCCTAACTCCCTCCTCATAAGGACAGCAACCTTTCCCCTTGAACTTTCATTCCTTTTTACGCAATGCAGAATCAGATAATTAAAATATTTGTCTGGCAGACTTTTGCCGCTGATGAGCCATCCAAGACGAATTCTTTTCCATTTTTGTCATTTGCATGGCATTTTAAAGGTTGCCGTGATTCATAAATTCAAGCAACGGCTTCCATCGAAACATCAAGTCGGTTTTTATTTCTTCTGGTCAATAGTCAGATTTACTTCTCGCTTTAAAAGTCATTTAGATAGAATTTAATTACTCATCTTATTCCGATTTATTACATTTCAAAGAAGCTATTTTGAGACGCGGGCTTAGATGATTGTATCGTCTCTCATTCCTTAAATATAGTAGACAATATATTTTTCGGATATTTTTCACAATCTGTGTAGCAGCAGTAGAGTGTTTTAGAAGGAGTCTAAGCTTAGATCGAAATGCGATGTGTACCTAAAAGCATTAGTGCATATAACAGACAAGATATATTCAAAATTGTATCATATATAACAGTACTAACATCTGCATTTAAATGTAGAGGGGCTTATGATAATGTCTGAGACGACCAGTATGCGTCTTCCTGTGGCGCAGCTTACATTAAAACAGTAAAAACATTAAGAGTGCCTTCATTTTGAATCAATGATTATTGTTTTATCTTTAAAAAACTCCTCTAGGTTAGATCGAAGAAAAAGGTTTTAACTTGGTTTACATGAGCATAGATAAGTCTTCTGTTGTGTTTCGAGAACTTCATATCTAGAATTGACAAGCCTTTTTGAATTTCGGTCCTATTTAGCTCGAGCCGTTTACATGAAAGGTTGTGGATCTGTGTATGTCTCGTTAGATTTCGTTAGCCAATAATCCTCTGTTAATTTGCTGTGATTTTACGTGCCTTAAAATTATTCCATTAGCTTGATCTTGCCAAGTATTGCTTCAATGTCTGAAATTCGAAAAAAAGCGCTGCAGAATATAAGTCAGCAGTTGACTCCGATTAGATTGTTTCGCGACTGCCGAACTCGTGTCGGTAGACATCAACTAACAACATTAAAAATTTAATTCGGAAGTTCTGTGGTCAAAAATAATAGACAAATGACCCACATTTTACAAAGGAATGTAACCATTGAAGCACACAGCACAAGATCAATTGAGAACGTTTTCGGTCCTACAAATGGGCAGATACACAGAGCATGCAAATCTGACACATCCTTATGGCAGCCAAAGTCAATGGGAAGGAGGACCAGTTCACATTGGGCCCTAAGTGACAGGGTGAACGACTTGGATTTTTGGAATCTCATCAATAATCTGGAACACCTTGTCTAGTAAGTAACCTAGAAAATCCTTGATAAACCGACTCAACTTGATCTTTTATTCAATTAACACGTCTTTGAATGAGAACACTGCAGCATATCTCATTTTGCTTTTTTGAGGGTGATTAAGAAAAGTTTGCTCTTTGAAATACCCACTCTAGAAAACATTTAAGGTTATTTTAAAGAGACAGAGGCTTTTCAATGAAACACAGCATAATAATCTGTATTGACTTGCTCAAAAAAGCGCACCATTATGAATGATTCTATATAAAGATACGTCCACCAGCAAGTAAGTACGTAAGTATTTCCTTTCCACTGTGTTTTATTCGGCAGCGGCCTAGGATACTTTCGTCAATTTGTGATATAAAACTTTGCATTAATCTTGCCAGTATCAGGTAAGGGTTTGTGTCACATTCCCACCCAGCAATGCCTGTATGCATTGCAAGCGACCACATGAACAAATAATTGCTTTTTATTTCTTAAAGAGCATTTAACTCTCAATTTGACCGAATTTATTTTTTAAGATTCTGCTTTCCTCCAGTGCAACTCTAGAAACAATAATAATTCATTCATTTTATATAATTATTGGACTGAATCAATTTTACTCAACGTATGTCACTTATCGTATGTCCACTTAAACAATCTATGGAAGAATTTAAAGTAATAGTAGTGCAATGCAACTTCTAAAATGCTTAAGAGACAAACCTCTTCGTGTGTGAAAAATTATCTGCAAGTGTCACCCCATTCACTCTTAATGGAGTGAAGAACTTATATAATCTTAAGAATGCTACAGGCAACACATTACATGAAAGTGTCAAGCTGTTAAAAAAACTGTTTGAACATTTTTGAGTAAAATTGCAGGTGCCAAAGATGACACAGGTGCTGCTTTTAATGATGGGAACAGTGGTTTTAAAGTGATTTCTCACTTTCAAGAGCCTTGTCTCGAGCAGACGATTCTGCGATATTTTTATAACATCATATTTATTATTAATTCATTTTTCTAAAGCAAAGTGGTTTGTTTGCACGAAAATATTAATGATCAATTGATTTTTCGGACAAAATCCAATACGCTTTAGCTCATGCATGTTTGATCACATTAATAGAATCTAGCGTGGAAAATCATGCTAATACATCTGTTAAAACGAGAAACCTCTTCAATCTCAACACAGTTTTTGATCTCGATCTTCATCGCCGCATAGGCCAAGTTTTGTTGTAATTCTTATGGCTTCTTCGCTACTACACTCGGCATAAATCCGTATGGTCATAGGTTAGTACGTTTTAACCGAGAATAACACAGATGTATAAAATATTCGGGCATAACAGACACCTTTTTTTCTCAAGTATTGGTCCCTGTAACGACATTTTGGGCACTACAATCGCGTGTTGAACAAAATAAAACTGTGCTCAGCGCGAAGTCTGAAATTAATTGGAGAAGTCAACTCCGTGACGCGGTTTTAGTAAAAAATCTACGTCTTATTTCTGAATCCAAGGGTCGGCAAACGGAAATGAATGCAGGAAAGAGACAGTAGACGTCTGCTAACTTGCTAACAAAGTGTGGGTAAGTTCTATATTGTCAAATCATACAGTTGTGCTAAGAACAAGGGACTGGTTTTTCAACCATGCTTTACATTTCAGAATGATTATGAAAACCATAGTTTCATACCGAATATCTCCTATTCCCAACCCCGTTTACTTTCCACTTTTTACGAATCAAAGAGAATACTAAGAACTGTTGTTTGTTTTGAAGCAAACGGTATTCACCAAAGTACGCGTTAGTAGTCAAGCTACCTCATTAATGAAAAGCTTACTTGAGGAAGAAACCGCGCGCATCTATCTGGAAGACCAAGAAAATGATAACTTTCATAAAATAACATCAGAGTCCGTTCTCGAAACATATGCCGCCAGTGAGAAGCGTAGACTTTTCGGACAGATCGAGGAGTTAAAAATAGCAACGTACTAGTTTAGTATGCACTACTAAACGGCCAGTCCTATGCAGCATTTTACGCCATCTGCCATTTAGAAATGGTAATGTAGAGCCAGATCCTTAAGACGTAAGACCGTATACCAAGAAGAGAAACATCGCGTATAGATTGTGCGAGGATGCACTTATCACGTCAGACCTAACGGGATCAAAAGCCATGGAGGAAATATAAATTACTTATTTGCGAATAGTAGGGACAGTAGGTAAACTTGACCTTCAGTCTACCCTGTCGCGAAGCATGACTCAGACCCTGGAGTAAAATCAATTGTATATCAAGTCATTGTCCTTGCCAACAGCTTATCACATAGCCAAGAAGATACTCCACTTATTTTTTGCCAGAATATGGGGTAGATAAATATTTTTGCTTAGGACAGAGCTCTGGTCATTGGCACAAGAACGACCCACGGCAAGGGACAATTACAAACCCGCTATGATTAACCACGTCCGCCATACGAAAGGATTTCAGCACGTTTGAAGCGCCGAGTTGGTTGGACGCTGCTGTTTCCAAAATCCGGATTTCCATACTGATAATATGTTCGAGTCGGAAAGCAGGTTTAAAGGTAACCATGTTTCTTTATACATATGGATACGTTCGGGCCCGATGTAAAAACTGTTTCAATTACTGATTTCACCAATAATCGGTCTAACTAAAAGTACCTAAAGCTAGCAATCCTGTGGCAATGTGCTCAGCCCCAGTTTACTACATTAAGTTCCTATGAATATATACTGTCCAAATTCGTGCGAAATGCAACAGATCAGTTGCAAAGATGACAAGCCGTTCCTCCTCCCTACATTAAATGCAGGCATGACTGACATTTGCAGAGCGCGGTGCAAATGTTCGCAGAAACTGATTAGCTACGAAACGGCGCGTTCATCCCGTATTCATGGCAGGTTTTGACGTTTGACGAAAATAATAACCAAGCATATTTCTGTACGGAGTTTATTTGTAACAAATGCGTGAAAAAAGTAAATGCATCTCATGATAAAATCTCTAAAATAAATGTTGTTCCATAATGATACAAAGTCACAAATCGTACCATCAGATCACCGTTAGCTGGGCAGTGAACAAACGGGGGGACAATAGTGGGTAGGTAAATGCGTACGTCAGACAAAACTCAAATTCACGTACTCGAGGTGAGAAACAAAACCAAAGACTGGGAAAAATAAGAAGGCATAAGTTGAGGAGGAGGAGAAGAAGGGATATGGTTTCTCTTAAGACATCGGTGAGAAGTTCTGGCTGTTGTCGTCGGACATATATTGCCTTTTGTGAAAGCGGAATCTTTTGCAAGAACTTAAAAATTGCTCGGAATGGATTGGAAGGTAAACCGCCTATTTTTCAGTCTACTCCTGGTTTTCCCAGGAAACAAAAAAAGTTGGTCTGCCACTTGCCCTAGGAGTAAAGACGAAACTTTGAGGGGATGAAGGTATACATGCAATAATTGAACTCTGGGACGCATCTGCATCGGCGGTGCTCGAGCTTTTCTGTGCTTGTGGAGGAGACGAAGCTGAGGAAGGACCACTCGTTGCATCCGAGTTCTTGACACAGTTCAAAGCACTCGGCTGCCGTAGGCACAGCGCATCGAAAGTTCCCAGTCTCTGAAGATATTCAGGACTTATTCTTGTTATTGTGCCTATGCTGAGTTTAGATGCTGTATAGTTTGAAAGTGTCAGTAATTGGGCAAGGTCGATGCTGTTTGTCTGAGCAGACAACAGTTTTCAATTACACGTCATCAGCTCCCCATATTACTATGTGGTAACATTTTTCTAATTAATTTTATCGAGATATAAAATTTTCCGAGGTTAAGAACGTGATATTTCTTGCTTTGCATTGAAGTCAGTTTACTGAACTTATATCCTTATTTATTTGTTTTTGATGAGATCACTGAAACCTGTCTTGTTGTTCTTTTAGCATGAGATTTATTATCATACATAATACTACGGGGCTTCGCAGTCCAATATAAGCTGCTTGTAAGCTTACGTCCGTACGTAAACGTTCTGATAAAACGTTATGAAAATAAGGAAACGTATATATTTTAGTAATACTGGTCATTTAGGATTGGAAATGATTACATAAGTAGTGATAATTGTGGGATTTTTTTGAAGACAGATAAAATGATGGTCAAGTTAATTACTTTTTTTATTAAAATCTGCTTGAGCAAAATAACCGAACGGATTCTGACCTCTTCACCAAGATTAAAGTAAACTTACCATTATCCAAGTCGTAATTTTCTTCTGGACACGGTGGTCGGTAATATATTGGGTCCACATATTGGCCTACAATAATAAGTAATAAGAAGCTGTTTAGGTCATGATAAGTGTGTGACATTTATATGCCCATCATTATCTTCTGACGCCAGAAGTTCGAGAGATTTTGCGAATTTTCAACAGAGAACGGTATACTTTGATGAACAAAAGCATGAAGCAAATTCAAGTGTTTTAAATGACAAGCTTTCGAAAATCAACCTCTTGCATGAACGTGCTTATGCTCTAAAGACGGATAGGGAAAGCTAAAAGTACTACCATGTAATAAATCAACGTACAGGCTAATGAATGCTCCTTCAGTCGCAAACACGTAATACCGAACTGTTAAGCTGAATAAAGACATTAAAATGGCGACTCCTGTGTGCTGTGCTAACGAGTCATATTAATATGTTTGACGCGTCACAGTATACTGCAAATAGATAATAAAAAATAAAATTAAATAATGAGCTTATAACTATTGAGAACAACAAGTACTCAAGTAGGCACGTCATTAAAAATCATTTTAGTGAACCTTGATTATTTGAGACTGAACCTACTGCTTCCGTCTCCAAGGGGCAAGAGGGTTCCCAATACACCGATAATCGCCCAGAGAATGCATATTTCGCTGTTCGACTTCATGTTTTAGTTGGAACTGTTGCTTGAAGCGAAGTAGACGGAGAGGTGCTCGGAAGAGCCCGAGAACCTGCCTTTATAGCACTGCGCAACTACTCGATCCAATGGAATCAACTCGGAAACGCCAATGACTTGCATGGGAACGACTATTGTGACCAATGAATAAACAGAACGAAGGTTAACATAACTTTGTTGGGTGTATTCTCTTTCGCCCTTGACGGAAAAGATCGGTTGTATGCGCTGTCACTCGTGACCACTAAGTGCCTGAACCTGCGCATCCGCAATTACCGACTTAAGTGACCGATCGAAATTCACCAAAATAACAGGCTTCTACACGGTCTGGCCTGAAGCAACCTTTGCACGTCTTATGGGGCGCCCTTTGAGTTTTATGAGTATTGTAATGTGCTTAATGTACAGTAGGTACGGTCGGCATTTGTCGTGTCTCATACAAATGAAGTGCCCAGGGTGTAATTTTTGGAAGAACTTTATTTATTCTGTACACCATAAATCCTTTAGATTCTGCCTAGTTCCGTCACATTCCTATGAGCAAACGTGGATTATGAACAATTTTAAGAATGAAAATGCTTCAAGTAAAAAAATGTCCTTACTTTTATCGGTCAATGAAACCGTTATCACGCAATAAACACTCTCAGGCGGACTTTTACATAAACTATACACACCGATTCTCTGTGTTTTTGTAGGAAGGAATAGTTACCTATTCCTCTAATCGCCGATATAGCTCGATATTTCCACCGTACTTGCAAGCAAATCAGTCCAGGATTTTAAAGGAGAATTTCCGCTACCAGCACCAAAACTAGAATCGAGCTGTAAAGATGTATACGCATGTTTTCAAGCACTGTGCCCCGCTCTTCCGTCAGGAATTTTCATTTTTTCCAGACCATAAAACTACTGAACGTCGCTCTTATTTAGCACACTTTTGCCCCAACAGAATAGCTACTGTCATGTTAAGAGCTTTCCATAGAGGAGGAATTTTTTGAGCGGAAAATCGATGTAATTTGGATGGAAACTTTTTACAGCAGTTAAAAAAATTTCTTAAATAGTGATGATCTTAGGTAAAATAGCCAATATTGGAGTATTCGTTGTCGAGTATTGCACTCTATGCCAAATATGGAAGTATTTAAATGCAAAAAGTCTGCCTAGTCTGTCATAAACCTTAAACAGTATTTCGACGCAACGATTCAAAATTATGTCCACAAAAGTTCTTATAAATCCCTTCCTAATGAAATGTAAGTTAATGGAGCGTGTCTGCAATTAATAAAATCAACTTGCACTGGCAAAACTTTTTCCAATTTAGAAACAACAAAATCATTGCAAACAAGAAGCTGTGTGATAATTTGCATGCTGTGGTTTTTTCGACAGTCGTGAAGTATCTGTAAGATAAACAATCTAAAGTGTAAATGACCTAACGGTGGGCTTCTCGCATTGCTTGAACTTTAGTGGAATGTTTGCTCCTGGTTCACAAAGGAAACCTAAAAGGACTGGGGTGCGCACACTAATTTCGAAAACCCTCCATCTATTACAACACAGCAAGTTAGATTTAAAGTTAAAGTTTGACAATACCTTCTCACATTCGTAATTTTATTTATGTAAAAGCGTTAGCAGCTAGAAGGATGTCTTAGACTAAATCGGTCAAATTTCACTCGAACTTTGCAGCGTCTACGAGACACGATTGGATATTGACTTTTATAATAACAGACGAAAAACAGCATGGAAATTGCCCATGTTCCCCAACGCATCATCGGTATTCTGAGAAGGAACTTGTTTCAACTCTTTCTCACAAACTGGAGGTACTGTTTAAGAAATTACTTCTTCTGCAGGTTCGGTTTGGGGATCATACTTTGTTTGAGTGTCCTCAGTGTAAACTAGTCTAGGTGCAAAACTAAAAACACACAAAACATGCACTAGAGAATATTTTTAAGACGAAGAATATTTCAACCATTTGGCTTGCAGCCAACTGCTTAACCTTTTATGACGACTAATTTTCCCAAACTCTTTCTCATTAAGTAGGGCCCACGAAGCATGGCGCACCCTTTCAGTTGTTCTCTCGTTTAAATTAGTATTTTGACCTTTCAGCGGAGAATATTTTGATTATCCATTAACCCCCAGGCCTTTGGCAAGGTTACAATGTGCTGATTTATTGAAAAATTATCGAAATCAAATGTCTGCTCGCCAAATAGTCCCTTGAATACTACATACTAACATCCTCTACTGTATCGTGGATGGCTAACTGCCGAGACTGATCACGTCATTGAAAACTCACCCCAATCGTCGAACCTTCGTCAGCTGTTCAACGTCTTTCGACAGATAAACGCGGTCTGAAGTCGTAAGCTCTGAACAAGAAATTGGCGAGAGTATCTGCTCGTCATTAATTTGCCTGTCTGAACCAGTCACTCGACACTCCTACGGAACATGTCGATCGAAAACTTTGTGATCTCAAGAATATACTCTTTAACATTAGGATTTTGATGGCGAACGCACTAGCTAAGTTTATTCTCTGATGAAAGCACAGACTCAGGTATTCGCATCACCAATGGGAGTTTCTGCGTAGAAATCACACAAGTGCTGAAATGTTTTTTTTCTCTGACACGTCAAAACCCGCTCGAGCGGGGTATTGCTCATTCTGAACAGTTCAGCTGTCGTGGTACTCAAGGACTGATAAAATCTAACGCCCACAGACCAGACAGCAAGTGAAACACCTGTTTGAGCTTTTTGCTGTACGCGCCCACGAAGTATGCCAAGTCGATCACACCGCGTGTTGGGGCAACTGCGACTCCAATTATTTGATGTTTAGACAAGGCTAAGGAAAGGATCACGCAGAGGTTCGAAACGAAAGGATCAAGGTCAGTCATAAATACTGCCTGTTAAACCACAAAGGGCGACAATGATTACAAATTCCATGTATGTAGTTCGCCTTTAAAAGACCATTAAAATGACTTTTGAAAACGTCCTTTCCGTTTTCAGCGAAAAACAGAACAGGGAAAATCAGACATGGTTAGGTTTTTACAAGCAACTCAGCAGTTTTACGACAAAACGTTCGGCAGCTCTTTCGAAAAAACGAAACTTTGGCAAAGATGATGGGCGAAAGAAAATCACAACCCCTTATGGGGAAAATAACAGGACAACGTTAGAAAACATTTCGGTCGTAAGCTTTTTGCAAACTCTATTTAAGAGACAGAAACAGGATCGACAATGATTTTGGGCATTTAGATATTTCTTTATAGTCAAAAGCTTGTTTGAAGTGCGTTTTTCAGCATTTTAGCATTTGGATATTCGTACTTTGGTAAATACTTGACAGGAAATCTTTAGCAGATGCTGGACGAATTAGTGACTGACAAAATTCGACAAATACTCTAATAGGCTGGGAAGATAGTGCATCACTCCGGCGGACGACTCCTACCGGCTTGGAACCTGGTGGCAGTTTCGACAAATTGATAATTCTTGAGATTGCGGGACATGACATTCAGCGCATAGTAGACCCTCTGACAATTATTGAGCGGACTGTCTAAACCTCCGAATAATCCCTTCCCTAGGGATGAAAAGTGAAGCGGTCATGGGTTTTCTAATAAATGCACTCCAATTCAACCCATTCATTATTAAAAGCAAGAGTTTAAATAGTTCTCTTATAAAGTGCAAATTTAAGGGCCTTTTAAAGTCATTGCTGTTGTGATCCAGCAAGTGAAAATTGTCTAAATTCGATGTGACAATTATTGGTTTCGATTGATTTGTTGAGGAAACTCGTATTGGGGAAAAATAACAAAATCAAAAAACATTTCGGCCACGACACTCCGTTATCCGGCAGTGTCAGCGGTACAGTTTCAGAAATCTGTGCAGAAGGTAAAACTTTCCTCTGTCATGCACACGTTGTTATAATTCCACGACACACCCGGTAAACGTCCAACTTATTTCGCACATCAATATCTAGTAAAACTAAGATGGTTAGCAACACATTTAATCAAGAAACATTTTTTTAAAATTATGCTGAACGAACCAGTTGGCACAACAGAAATCGGCAGACAAAAACTCTTCCTCAGCACCGTTCGAAGGTGACAGATTCGACAATTTAATAAGGTCAGCATTCCCACTTCTTCCCAGGTCACTCATGATTGCAAATTACCTTGCAAAACGGGATTCTATGTTTATGAGCAATCACATAATATCACTCTAGGCTTCAAGATATTTCCGAAATTCACTTGCCTCGCACTCTCAGGAAGGAAGCGGGCAGTGTGTAGCACGTTTACACTGCGTTTACCAGGCAGACGCAAATAACTAGAGCTTACAATCAAAAAATCTGCACGGTCGCCGATCGTTACCCTAATGCTGTCTGAGTAAATCTTTGCATAAACACAGACAGTGACAGTAGGCATACATGATATAGTACTGTTGGCGCAGGATAGATTTATGCGAACAGTATACATACTACTTGCGAAAATATTTTCACACGATTTACATATCTTACTCACTCTAGGAAATCTGTGCAAAACTACCCAGAGCCGCATTATGCTTTCTTATATTCCTAGCCCCACCACTTTTCGGATGATCTCAGTAAAAAACCCCATAACCAAGACACGTCCCAAACAGTTTCTCGGTTTTATAATAAAGCGCCCTGCCTCTTCAAAATCAAAAGTATCGACATGATCCTCGATCTGCCTGTAAATCAGCTTTTAGAAATTCCTACGGTCGTCTCAAAGTATTATTTATTTATATTCGGGTATGTCACCACGCTCTGAAAATTTATATTTTGCGCTGATTTCGTCCTAAGCACTCCCTTTCGACAATGGGGTGCTCAAATGCTCACGCCATTTTCCCTCAATGAGCTGAAGTGGACAGAACGCCGAGTGCGATGGAGGGTTACTTCCGCGTTTGGAAGTAGTTTTCTCCAAACTGCGCCGAACATCATCTTAAGTGCCGAAGAAAGTATTAAGAGACATTGGTCATTTGCACAAGTATCGCGTGATGGGACTCTTGGCTTCGTTATTTTCCGATGT